CAGTCCGCGTTCATTGAGGTGAAATTTCGCTGCATGAATGCCGCGTATTTGTAAAACACGCATTTTTTGCTACACGAGGCAACACACAAACAAAAGCAGAGATCAAGGAGCATTGTCAGATAAGCAGGTAAACAAAGACGCGGGTCACACAACCGAGTAAAGAGAGATGCACTTTCATGAACGATTCTTTTCGTGGCGCTTCGATATTCGAGAGTTAATATCAGTAACTCGGCGCCGCGATTGTGCAGCGCCGAGTTAATCGTTTATCGTCGATTCCAATATTTCTCGCATATTATTCATTCAAAAGCGATACCCCGAATCTCTTATTGTTTACGGCGTCGCTTGTGTGTGCACGTGGTATTTATATTTGTTTACGCCCGTGCGTGGAAAGATTGAAATAGCGTTTGCGTGAGCAATTTATAGGATACAGTATACAAATATCTCGTCTCGCTAAATATAAATATGAGTTTATTTACGTAATAGCACGATGTTGAATCTAAGGTCACTTATGGAGGCGATTCAAAGTGTCGATTTCGAATCCATATGGAGACTCGAGATTTAAGATTCATCCGCGGCAAGCGGCGGAGAATGCAATAAGATCGAAACCTACACAGAGCGATGCGATTATTCTCGTGATGTTTTACAAGCGTTATATTTGCTACCTCCTTCTCGGATTTTCGCGAAAACCCGATGGTACCTATTTTTTACCGTTCGCGACTGTCGCGCGGAAATTATCGGAGAAAAAAAGAAGACGGAACGGGGCTATTTCGAGCGAGAGATAAGCGCGTCTGTTGTCTCGTATAATAGACATCATATAAGTACGATTGTATTTATATCTAGTGACGAGGGAAAGAGAGAGAGAGAGAGGGGGGGAGAGAGAGAGAGAGAGAGAGAGAGAGAGAGAGAGAGAGAGAGAGAGAGAGAGAGAGAGAGAAGGAGGGAGGGAGGGAGGGAGGGAGATAGAAAGATTCATGTTCCGGAAACGCGGAATTGTCGAGACTGCTCCTCTCCGCGTATATTTCGAGAACAGTCGCGAGAGTGTTGCGGAAATGTATGCCGGGAGAGGATACATTACGAAGCAAGTTTCACAATAAGGTTAATGAGACTTTCTTAAGGCCAATCGCCCGTAGTATATCTCCTCCACCTGTCCCGATAATACTTCGTTGGCCCACTGTTCGTCTGTTTATCCTAGCTCTTTTTTCTCCACGAGGAAGGACAATATCAATTTTCCTCGATCGCGTCTTCCTCTCTCTCTCTCTCTCTCTCTCTCTCTCTCTCCTCTCTCTCTCTCTCTCTCTCTCTCTCTCTCTCTCTCTCTCTTATCGGGCCGTCCTTCGACGAGTGCGAGAGCGAACTTTTATTACGGCGACCTTATTCGGCGAGCGGTATTATTTTAATGGGCTCTCTTTGAATCTCGCGCGCGCAACGAGGCTTCCTTTCGATCCCGTCCATTCCGTCGCGGTTTTGAGACTTTCCGCGAGTCCTCGTGCAATAAAAAAATGTGTGTCAGTGCGCGACACACGAGCGATATCGTATCTGTTGATGAAAGCACATCGCGTTCGGACGCTTTGCGTTACGTTAGCGTTTGTTTGAGCGGTCGCGGCGCGGCGCGGCGGTCGTATTTACGCATTCTCGGATTTGCGAAATATGGCCCGAGACCTGTGCAAGAAACAACAAAAAAGTGGCGATACCGTGCGGGTCGATAAGCGTGCGAGAGCGGTGAAAAAAGAGAAAGAAAATTATTCAACATGCGGCAGAATAATGGAGAGGCAGAGAGAAAGAGAGAGAGAGAGAGAGAGAGAGAGAGAGAGAGAGAGAGAGAGAGAGAGAGAGAGAGAGAGAGAGAGAGAGAGAGAGAGAGAGAAAATCACGCACTCTCGTATTATCTTGCAAGGATACGAATCCGCAAGATCAGGTTTCCATTTCGTCGGGCATTTCAGCCAAAGAGGGGGTAGTGATAATTCGGAAAAAAACGCGTTTACTTTATTATTAATCTATCTTTAGGATGTATTCAAAATAGCACGACTCGTAGAAGGGCAGACGTGCGCCAGAGAGAACAGCGCGCGTACTCGCCGTCACGTATTCACACATACACACACACACATACAAAGAGAACATACATGCATAGTACGTGCACTCGCGCGCACGCTTGACGGTTCTCAACTGCTGCTTCGCGTTTCCTTGCTTCGCGAACGACGCAGTTATGAAACGACCATAAACGTGAGTCGCATTCATTTCGAAAGTGACATACGTCGGTTTCGAAAGACTCGGCAAAATCTACGCGTTTTGCATGCTTCTAGATGGGTGTCGCAAAAATGTATGACATTTCTGAAACACAAGCTCGACTACTTTTGAAATGAGCGTGAACAAAGACACTTGTGAAAATGTCAAACCGTTTCCCACGTCGGCTTGAATTTGGCTAGCTTATATTTCTGCTCTAACTTCGTCCGAAAGTCGAGCTGTGACCTTTTAGCGTCTATTTCGATATTTCTAGAGATGATATTTTTCTCAGAAAAAAGTCGTCGCGAAAAACTTCCGTAACGAAGGGAGAAGTCAAGTTCGGACGAAAGACGCGTCGGTGAATTTGGACTGGAGAGCGGAATTATCGAAGTCCTTTCAATAGATACCAATGACCCGAGATTCGAGCCACAAAAATACAACTCGTCTCCATCGAGCTCTGCCAATTCTATAGAAAATTCAAATTACGATATATCAGCGATAGATCAGCGTTTAAGCGACAGTCGAGGTGATTCAAGCGCCAAGTTATCTCTCGTTACGAATTGAAGTGCCGTCGACATGAGGTCGATAAGTACGAGCGAGCGCGAAAGCGCCAGCATAAATTCTGCTGCCTTCGCATAAATTTCGGATCGGGTTTGTTGCAACGTCGACAATGTCGCCTCGAAGCCTTAGTCACCGAGCTAACTTCAAGGTGTGTGCAATTAGAAAGTCGAATCGATCGAGGGCGGCGCGGAATCGAATTTTCCGAAGACTCTGACGCTAACAGGAGCCGACCTACGGCAGCCGCGCGCGGAGGCAACTTCGGTTGAGAACCACTGACCGCTCGAGCACACACAATAACCACCTGCGCGCGCGCGTACACGCAGCACACACGCGCAGTGGCATCGAGCGGATCAATAATTTTTGATACTCGCGTACGGGACATTCAAAATACGCGCTCACGGCGCATGCAACGTAGTACGATGTCGCGGCATAATCGCGATCGGCGGCGGCGAGGGAAACTCGCAGAAAACGCGCGTTTTCCCGACACGGAGCGCGCAAAGAGGGACAGGGGGAGGGAGGGGGGAGGGAGAGAGAGAGAGAGAGAGAGAGAGAGAGAGAGAGAGAGAGAGAGAGAGAGAGAGATGCGCTCTTCGCTCATGGACGTGCGAAAAGGAGAGAGAGAGGAGCGAGCGAGCGCGCGCGCAGCAGAGTCGCGTCGAATAGCGGCGTTTCGCGTTCCGATGCGCTAGAGATACTCGAGAGCGTCGCGCGCGCGGTCCCGACCGATCCGCCATTTTTAATCGATATAAGCCAGTGCAGAGCTAATACTCGAGTGCAGCTAATACCCGAGGAGAGAGAACACGTCGCTCGGCTCTCTCTGTCTCTCTCTCTCTCTCTCTCTCTCTCTCGCGGCTGTGTTCGCGATTTCGCCACCTAACGGTGCTCTCTTTAAACTGCTCCCAAATGTTCCCAAATGCCCTTTAACTTCGGCAAAAATACACGGCTTGTCTCATCGGGCAAACAGTTAGATTAGATAATAGAGCAGTAAGCGCTGGCAACACGCGCGAGCGCGATGAATATGCATACCGTGCTCGTATTATTTGCCATACTCTCGTATACATATGGATCTCGTAGAAGGTAATTCAATTGAATCGCACATTCGATTCTTTCTTTTTGTTTTTCACTTGGTTCTCTTTAATGACGCGCGCGGATGTCATTGATGTAACCTACGAGAATGTTGAGGTCACACGAGCGATTGTTGTCCTTCGCTCTCTCTCTCTCTCTCTCTCTCTCTCTCTCTCTCTCTCTCTTTTCTCTCTTTTTCTCTCTCTCTCTCTCTCTCTGGAGTTTCGACAACTCACGATGATCATCTCTCGTGGCATGCCGACCAACGGATGTTTGCGGTCTGGCAAAAGTACGTGCCTGTGGTTAAAAAGGTCTTAACAATCCGCGGCCACGTCGTTTCCGATCGCCCGACTAAGCCGATCGACGTACTTAGAACGGTATACATATATATTTATTATTTTCATGTGAACTCAGCTACACTGCGAGCGGCCTTTTCCTCCTCGGGTAATTTAAACATGTCGAGAATGTTTGAACATCTTGAAGATCCGCACACAACTGTTTAAGTTAGAGATAAATTAGATAAAACGTCAAGCGTCTCGCGTAAATAGAAGGCGAGATATCTCTTTTTCTTATACGTGGAAATTTATATATATTTTGGTTTTGTTTTACGGCGCGAACATTTCCAATGCGTTTTCAAGTTTGTGCAACCGGCTCTCGTCTGTTTGTACGCTCTTGCGTATCTCGCGTCTGCGTCGTTGTAGTGGTAAGAATTCGTCTCTACGCTGGTTGCACCACAGCGCGATAACGCGTCGGAGATTATTCTCGGATAGCTTTCCGTCCGCGAGTCGACGAAGTCGCACGGAAATAATGCTTGGCCGCGCGGACGCGGAATTACAGGTGACAGTAATGCTAAATTTGAATGAAGCGCGCGACCTCGCGCGAGATTTTTATGGCGTCCGTCGTCATAACGGATTATTCGCGCGCGATATACGGTGAGAATTGTCTTATTGACGAGAGAGAGAGAGAGAGAGAGAGAGAGAGAGAGAGAGAGAGAGAGAGAGAGAGAGAGAGAGAGAGAGAGAGAGAGAGAGAGAGAGGGAGGAGCGGACAGGGATATAACAGAGTAGGAGGGAGAGCGCGAGGTGGAAGGAGAAGGAAAATGATGACATAGAGAGGGAGAGAGATAGAGAGGGACGGGAAGGGAGGGGTGAAGAGAACGATAGGAGGCAAAGGAGAGAAGGGGAAGAGAGGGGTAAAGAGAGAGAGAGAGGGTGTGAGATTATGATCGGTACCGGCGAGAGATAAAGAGGAGACTGCAGACTTTAATTTCGAGGATAGTTCCGACGAGAGAGAGAGCTTCGGATATGCAACGAAACAATAATTTACGTAACGTCGCATCTTATGATCGGGGATGCTCTCACACGCCTCGCCTCTACTCCGACGCACAGTGTGCTGTTATCGGGATGTAAACGCCTGTTTTCACAGTGGTCATCGATGCGTCAGCCTCGAACAATTCGGCCGTCGTCGCGTCGACGCCGAAGAGCGAAACCGGTATTTTTGGAAAAACCGAAATGCGCGGGAATGTCGAATTTTCTCTCCCGGGGAGCTACCCGGCGACATCTCCCCCTCCCTCCCTGGCCCTGCATCTCCAGTGGTTGTTACGTCCCATAGATTCATACAAAGAGAAGGAAAAATCACAACGCTCGACGGCGCTTTTCGTTCAGTCGTCCTCGCCGAGTCGTCCGGTTGAGAGATCGGCCCTGCGCGCGTCACTCGCTCCTGTCGAGAATTCGAGGACGCGTGCAGTCTCGCAGGCCGACGGAATCGACACGTCGCGATTTTGCGGAAAATTCGCTTCTCCGACGTCGCGCGCGGCTTAGGCGGCGGCGGCGGCGACAGAAACGGCGGAAGAATCAGGGCGCGGGGAGGTGCGGGAGGACACGGAACGGAACGCGGACGAGCGCGTGCATGCGAACGCGCACCGTTGTGAACGTCGCCCCGCCCGCGCGTTGATCGCTCCGATCGCGCGCGCGGCGGTCGTGCCATACACACACACATACACGTACACGCACCACATACACGAGCGGCGACGACACGACGACGAGGGGAGGATGGTCGCTCGCGGGAACGGCCGCGTTCGCTAGCTAAGCGAGCGCGACTACGCTCCGCTATTCCGTTCTAGCGAAATAGCCTCGCGGTGCAGACTGATCCGTTCTTCGCGAGCCCGGGAGCTGAGTGTAAGTCCGCCTCTTTCATCCACACGAGCCGATTTCTCGACATGTGCCGCGCCTCGCGAGAGCACGACCAGTAGTAATATAAGTCGCCCGCGCGGCGATACTTCCCCGGTACGACCCTTTCTTCTCCCTTTTGCCCTTCGTCCCTGCGCGCCTCCACCGCCACCACCACCGCCGCCGCCGCCGCCGCCGCCGCCGCCGCTGCCGCTGCCGCTGCCGCCGCCGCCGCCGCCGCCGACGTAGCCGCCGCCGCCGTCGCAGCAGTCGCCGCAGCCGCCGCTGCTGCTGTCCGTTGTCGCCGAGACGTTTAACTTTCTCGTGGAATTTACGCGGCTACGCCGATGCTGCCGACGCTTGCTCGCGAATGTGTCTCGCGGGGAGGGAGAGGGCAGGGGAGAGTACGCAGAATCCGACATCGACTGCCTCTCAATCGCGCCGAGTGACCCGATGTGTGTGCGCGTGTGATGCTCGGTCCGAGGTACGTTTTTTTCGGCGGATGCTCCTGTCCTCTCTCTCTCTCTCTCTCTCTCTTTTCTTTCCGTTTCCGTGCACTTTCTTTCTCTCTCTCTTCCTCCCCTCTCTTTCTTTCTCTCTCTCTCTCTCTCTCTCTCTCTCTCTCTCTCTGTCTCTCCCCTCCACCTCTCTTTCTCTCTATGCTGTCTGTCTTTCTCAGCTACGATACTGCTCGCGCTGCGTACCTTGCGACCCCTCGCCGTTCGTGAAGTGCGTCGCGCGCTGCTCGCATGACGTTTGCTGCCGTGCTGTCAGAGCGGCCAGAACGGATCGCCTTGCGCGAGCTGGCATTTAAGAACGGCTGGTAAATAATGTCGCGTTGTCAAACGAGCGTCCATCGTGCGATATTTTTCCTTGTTGTCGCCGTCGTCGGGCCGAGTGCGGGTCTCTCGCGCGAACCCAGTAGGAAAGCGGAATGTTGAGCGAGCGGTATTTCGGGCATCGTCGGATAAGCAGGGCCGTGCGTGCGGTAATTACGTCTACGTATTAGGTTAGCGTCCTACTGTGAGTGCTACGAAGTGTGCGAAACCCCCGTATAACACGGGCTCTCCTTAATCCGCGTTTGGTCACTGCTGTGGAGAAGTGTTTAGATTTAACCTTGAACGGCGGATCTTTCACACTCCTCTTTCTCGTTTCGCTACTTCGAGGTGCTGCGATCGATAGGAACAACGAGTCGCAGTCGTAAAGACTACTGTTTTCAAGTGGATCGTGAATTGTGCCGGTTCTAGAATCGTCAACGTAAACGAAAATAACGAGATTGCTATATTTTGAGTTCGATATTTTAGTTTTTTTTTTTTAACATTTAACAGAATATATATTTTATTCATCTTAGAATTTTAGCAATTATTATGAACGTATGAAATGCACATTACGTACTTAATGTACATCTTTCCCACACATAATGATCTTTTGATAGACTTCAAAGATAAATTCTAAATAAAATTTTTCTGCTCTGAAACGTTAAAATGTTTAATGTTTTGATGAATTATACATCATATACTTAACATTGTGAGTAATAAAATTTTATTCTTCATATAATTTTAAGCGTATTTAACGGGAAAACATTTTTTCAAATTTCTTATTGTACAAGATTTTTTTTTTCTACAAATTGTCAAACAGTATGCATTGCAATTTAATGCAGTCTGAGTAGGATATTTTGATATTATGAATATCATAATTGCAGAATTATCCTGATATGGTCCATATTCTTTTAGATCTCCACTGGCATGGAGCTAGGAGCGCACTGATAGCGATAGTTTATGAGGTACTGATGAGGTATTTGATTACTTTGCAGATACAAATTTTTACATAGTTTTTATTCAAATATTCTTACTTACTTAATTTGATCTATTCTAATGGTGTAGCAACTATTTAAAATAGTTGCTACACCATTAGAAATATTGTCCTATTAAAAATTTATATGAGATTTCTCTTTTATCTTTTTCAATTTTCCTTTCAATTATATAATTGCATTAATATGAACAATATTTCTTAATTATTACCATTCTCTTATCAATTTCGGTTTTGATGATTTTGATCACTATTAATAAGTTACTTGGTTACTCTATCAAGTTGTATTTTGCTTAAATTAAATAAAATCAATAAACGTTATAAAATTGACTTAAGTACAATACTAATACATCTACATAGGCTTTTGCCTGCAATGCATTATTAATTATGTGCCTATATATTTCATATATAGATCTTGGTTTCTATGCATTGCCTGCCAAAGAAGAACTGAGCCCAATGTTTCCACACAATTCTAGTTCACATGAGATTTCTACAGAAACAAATGCCTTCGTACAAAATTCCGTGGTAAGCAATTACATGTAAATTTTAGGCATTTAAGATAGTTTTTATATATATATATCACAGCTTACGTCATCATTTACATGAACCCAAAAAGATATTGAATGGATTATGAATTTGTATGAGTTCATAAAATGAATTGTTCACGTTGCAGGATTTCAAAGTATTAATGTTAACATATACACCTACAATATAGATAATATACCTGTAATACAGATATTGCTTGAAATGTAATTAAAGAGATACAATGATGTAATTTAATAATCTATTAGTCTTACATTATTAGTTATACAGTCTACAATATTATTAATTATTAATTATACAATCTACAGTGAACTACATAATTTGTTATCCATACATGTACACACTTATCTGTAGATCTTTTTTTATTTATGTGCAATACTGTTGCAACTTTGCACTATATTATACTGGTTGTATTTGTTTATCTTCATATGCTTTAGAAACACAAGCTTTGTATGAAAACAAACTGGCACTTTTTTAAACTCATTGTGTTTTCTTTTTTGTGTTGCAGGGGTATGTAGTAGTATTAAAGGAAAGCAGTCTGGATGGGGTGGGGGAAGGGGAAGGATTAGAGCACACTTGGTACTGTGATATCGAATCCATAAACAGCAGCACGATGGCAGCACCTATTAGCCATCCCGAAGCTACCGCCGCCAATGACTTTTCAACCGTCCTGCCGAACCAAGCTGGTGAGTAAAATGATGATACAGCTGCGATATTTATAGACATACTAATATTTCTATTTCATTATTACTTTTCACCTGATGCATCTGTTATGTCTATCTTGTTACTTTTAATGTATTAACTCTTTGCGTTGAAATCATGTTTTTTAGACATTATGGTTAGATGTTTGCGAATCGAGCGTGCATGTTGATTATAGACTTGACATCTAATCCTGATATTTTGTAATAATGGAATTCGTAAAAATTTTTGCCAAACCGTGTAAAGTATGTGTAAATTGAATTGCAATACATACTTTTGTTTTTTCAAGTTTAAACTTCTCTGTATAGAGATACGCCCATACACCAATAAAATATTATTGCGCAAGAAGTTGATGCAAACGAGTATATCGTACAAAACTTTTATCCGTCATTTTTTAGAAGCTGTTGTAAAGCTGAATAATATTGTAAGCTCAGCTTTGTTGTATACCTATAAAAAAAAAAAAACTCAGATGCATGGACATATACATGATTAAGCTTTCTATGAATACTGCATTTTTCAAATTACACGAAACATCCTGCATCACATAAACATATTTAGATACAGAGACAAAAATTTTTAAATATGGAGAAATTAAATTAAATAGCTTATCGAGAGATATTTGATAGATATGCAGGAAATTTCGACGTTTAGAGTTCGGTAATTCTGATTTGCAGGTGAGTTGGACTCAACCGGCATAGGTAAGGCCTGCCAGTCAGTGGCGCCAGCAACCACAAAATACCCAACAAATCACCTTCTAATCTGCGATAATAATAATAAAATAAATAATCACAACAATGCAGAACATAATCATCACAAATACAGAAAGCAAAACACACCGGGCTTGCTTGGTCAGCTGGGCAGCTCCGCCAATAACTCTAAGTCTACTTGTAAGACGTTAAGTGATAATAAGACTAGCTTTAGCCATCTAAACTTTAGGGTACTAAGGTATTTAATAAGTGGATATCTGCGCGCTGTAAGGGACAAAAAGTGTCGCATCGTTGGGGTACCTAGCCTAGTTAGGATACCCAAGTCTGATAGTCCCCAACGGTTGTTACGCCTCCCTAACTCTGTCGACAATTACTCCTTACTAGGGTCCTGCCTTGACCTGGGCGACAACAATAAATTTAAGGCTAATTTTAGTTACGTAAATAATAACAACTCCAAGTCTGTGATATTGCTCAGCTCAACCAGTTACAGTAACCATTACCTCCTCTTTAGTGGTGGCTTTGACAAGATAGCTGCTGTTATCCCGGTACTTTGTATTAAAAGGGACGATTCCACCACATCGAATAGAATGAAACTACTAGGTGATAAGTACGCCCTAGTTACCAGTTTTGCTCAGACCTCCAGACTGCTTGCAAACGATAGAATTCTGGATGATAACTCTGACATCCGAGTTTCTCTGAGCCGCCGAATAGTACGACACCTTCTGGAATCGCATTTCGATGGCAACACTCTAGTATCGGTGTCTGTCTATGCTCAGAATTTCGCGATGTACGCCGCCAGTTCTTCCATTACGCTTATCGTTTCCATAAACGAAGTAATTGACCACACTTTGCGATCTTTCCTGAAAAGTCTCACGCTACTGTATGTACAATCTTGTATTTCTCCATTATGTAATGTCACTGTGACCGAGCTGATGCAACACATATGTGTTCCACTATTAATAATATGTAAAAGTAATGATTACAACGTTGGTAATAATAATGAATACTATAATAACGAGAACATTAACGTTGGTAGTATTGAAGAAGAAATTAATATTAGTAATAATAACCAAGATGTTATCGGAGACATTGTTGACATCGCTGTGTGCTACAAGACTAGTGTAATGACTACTAATGTTAGAATCTTAGGGTCTCAAAATGATGGTATTAGTTGTACCGAAGCAACAATATTTACTGTTGGTGCTCTTTTATTTCAGGATAACAATAAGTCTAATAAGCTTCTAAACACTTGTTTTAAGATTAGTAGGTATAGGGGATCGGCTACTGCCGATCGCGAATCTAACTCTACCATTAAGTCTGTATCTAAGTCTACGCTAAGCGATAAGTGTAACGTTAAGTTTGAAACATCTCATACCGCTCGACTTGACGAATCTGACAACAGAAAGCAAGTTAAGTTGACTGTCAACATTCCTATAATGACTACCTGCAAGCCTACGATGACGCTTACATGCCAATCAGCCACCGTCGCATCCCAAACAATTGTTGTACCTGTATCTCGGGCGGAGAGTCGCACGAACGACAAGGAAATGCGATTGGAATATTTCAATATACTCCAAAATGACCAAATATGTATCCAGTATATGTTGCTAAGTCACACAGATGATCTTAAGAATGACTTATGTCATTATGACGCTAAATTTAAAGACGTGCAAAATTATGCTATCGACAAGCTCAAGGCAACATCGAAAGATGACTCGGCTCAGTTGATCTGCAAATATGACCAAGAAGCTCTTAGACACGACCGAGCTCGTAAGAATGACAATGATGATGATGATGATGATGACGATGACGATGACGATGACGATGATGTTGATGATGATAACGTCATCGCAAGCAACAGCAACGAAAATTTCATTGCACCGTCTACATCGCAATGGTCATCCCTTATAATGCGTACGTGCACGCTACTTTCTGCTTGTCGAGCAGCGTGCGAGAATAACGGGAGCAAATGTGAGCTTCAACGGCGCCAACTGAGATCCACTCTGGACGTCCTGTTTCGCAAGTTGTCTTATTTACATCGGAACGTCTACGAGCCTATTGCAAGTTACAAACAACGTTGGGGTATACCGCTGATATTGCACTTGGCAGGAGGTGGGGAGAGTTCTTTGAATACTGGAGGAGCTGCTAACTGGGGATCGACACAAGCCACTACTCCAAATAACAACAACGCAAGCCAAAGTGGATGGGGTAGTACACCAGGGAATCCATCTGGTAGCACTAACGCTCCCAGCAATTGGGGCGGCAACACCGTCAATCGATCTGTTACGGGAAATCCGAATCAAAATCAAAATCAAGGGCCACCTGGTAACCAAAATACACCGGGTAAGTGGTGACTTTTGTAATATTTATCCGAGTCATTTTATTTAACAAGATCTCACAAAGTCGCGCAAAGCCGCATTTAGAAGATACAATTAAACGTTAGTTGCGTTAGTTACCTCGTGTATCTTTTTTTCACTGTAACTTATTTAATCATATACGTCTTTGCCTTGATTAAGTAGGAAATGTGGGTAAAGTAAACAATCCCAATCAGCAATCCAATCAACAATCTGGTCCGCCAACGTCTCAATCAAATAACCCTACCCAAGGAAATCAGAATAATAACCAATGGCCTCAGGGAAAGTCTAATCCAGGTGGTCTCGGGCAAAACCCGTCAGTGCAAAACAACAACAACAGTGGTGTTCAGCAGCAGCAATCCTCAGGTTCAAGTGCAAGTAATAATCAGTCGAACAATCCTACTCAAGGGGCTGTGAGTATCGGAAGCACTTCGGCAAGCAACAATCCATCTACGAAGCAACAACTTGAACAACTCAATACGATGAGGGAGGCACTTTTCAGTCAAGACGGCTGGGGCTGTGTAAGTGAAAAAAATTATGCACACTTGCGATTACACGTAGAATCAAGATCGCGGTAGGTTCGCGATGTAGTAATTGTCACTCGTGTGCTGATAATTGTCGACAGCAACACGTGAACCAAGACACAAATTGGGACGTACCAACATCTCCTGAGCCGTCTATGACAAAAGATGGTGTACCCATCTGGAAGCCGCCGGTGAACAATGGCACCGATCTCTGGGAGGCTAATCTGCGCAACGGGGGACAGCCGCCGCCTCAACAGCAGGCGAAAACTCCGTGGGGCCATACACCCGCGACGAACATTGGCGGCACTTGGGGTGAAGACGACGAGACAGCGGATTCGTCGAACATGTGGACAGGTGCACCGACGCCGTCGCAGCCGAACGCTGCTCAATGGACCGGTGCAGCCGGTAACCAAGCCGGTATGTGGGGAGGTAGGCTAGTGAAGGCTGGAGATGCAAGATTAATGGGCAAAATGTTCTAAATTTCTTCATTTCGACTGACTGAGAGATTCTCTCGATCCTTTCTCTAGCGTTATTGGCTGTGTGTCATGCCTGTTAGCGCACCGCTAACGTATCTTCTTCTATGTGACGATGTTCAGAATCCCAAGCGTATCATTTATTAGTTGCTCTATCAATTCATTTGTAGATCTATAGATGATATCGTAGAAGAAGGTATACTTTTAAATATCTAATTTCTTTTCATGAAGGTTGAACGGCCAGTAAGAACCTCAATTTGAACTTTTATCAGCCACTCCATCTTTATTTTTTATTATCACAGGCAGTGTCGTTTTACTTATATTTTAATTTTTTTTTTCTGTACAAAGATGACACATTTATATATATTTATTAATATTTTTATTAATATTTTTTTAATATTTTTTTATTAATATTTTTCACGCATTCTTTTGTCATATTATTTAGATATTAAATACAAGCTGTATTTGAACACGTTTTAAAAATAATGTAGCTTTGAAGTAGCTACAACCAAGAAAACATTCTTTGAATATTGAGGCGTCCATGTAATCTATAGAATAATATAGAGATCGTTTACAATAAGTGATAGATCAACAGATTGCACCATGTAGTGTTGTATGTACTGAAAGTTTCTCACTTAACCGATTTCGGGTTATTCTGAACAAAGTCCTACATTTTTAGAATTTTTTTTTTTCTAGAACAATACAATTGGCTACAAGTGTATCTCAGAACTTACATCGTATTTGAGCAGTTGAACGTATGCAAGATAATAAATTAGTTAAATTATTATGCTTCCGACAAATTTAGCTGCGACTTATGTTTGGTGTAAGGTCGTGTTGTGCGCCACTGTATGTTACTCTTGCCTGTTAGAATTGAACATGAATACTCCGGCATTCACAGAGCTTTAAGAAAGTGGGGTTATAACTCGAGCGATTTTCATCTGATTTTGCATATGTGCCTTTGCGAACGCTATAAATATCAAGTGATTTTTTTACCGATATTGTGTTTGAGAGAACTTATTCTTCAATACAAAAGTGCGCTTTTTATGTGGAAATGCCCTATGTTAGACGCTTTTCCCTAAAACATATGCACTTAATTACACAGAAATTGTATAATACAGGTGCAATGTTCTCCTTGCTCTTACTACTTCTGTTTTACTCTTCTCTCTTTATTCGCTCTCTAAAAAAAAAATTATAACACGTTACGTATTGAAATTTGAATTGTAAATTGCTATTTTACTATGCATTTGCACAAACAGGTACAGATATAGTTATGAACAACGGTCGCGAGAGTTTAAAAAACTCTTCGATTCGTTATTTGCGTAAAAGAAAATATATTTTTTTATTGTATGATATCCACTCATTGATTCAATCTTAATTGCTTTTTTCGATTTTGTGACTGATGGCTGTGATGCAAAATCAAACTAAATCGATTTATAAGTGATTGCCATTTACGTTCATAATCGTTTGTCGATTTTTTATTAGATACGAATTGTATACGTTTTGCTGTAATAATTGTTATTTTGAGCCTAGCTTGAGCTTAAAATGACATTCGACGATTTGGACGAATGATTGAATTACTTATAAATGGATTTATGATTATCGCGCATGGGCGAAGGGACCGTCTCTACAAATATGATTGATTGTAACAGGATCCAACTGGGGTGATCCTAGAATAGACCATAGAGATCCGCGAGACTTGAGATCTGTTGATCCAAGAGAGATGCGTGATCCTCGGGATCATCGTATGTCTTTGGATCCCAGAGATCATATGCGTGTTATGGATCCTATGGCACGTGATCCGCGAATGACCGACATGCGTGGCGATCCACGTGGGATATCAGGGCGACTGCACGGTGCAAATGCAGATGCGATGTGGAACCAACCGCCAGGTCCACCGCATCATCAGATGGGACATCAACATCCGTCTGGACCACCGGCCAAGATGCTCAATCCTTCGAATATGAATCAATGGGCTGCTCCTCCCCCAAAGGACATTATGCCTGGCAAACCCTCTGGCTGGGAGGAGCCGTCACCACCAACTCAACGGAGGAATGTACCCAATTACGATGACGGTACTAGCCTTTGGGGAAATCCAGCTGCTAATCAACGTGCCTTGCAAACTACCAAGGTATCGCATTGGAAGGATATTCCCGCACCTAACTTGGCTCGTGGAGGTATGTATATGTCTGAAAGTAAGTTAGCATCACGATAATTTTAATACTCGTGGTAAAAAATATTTTTTTTTATTTTCGCGGGTTGAAGTAAAATGCAAGACTTGCAAGCTTTTTATCCCAGGAAACCAGCACACCAGCATTTGCCTTTTATTCAACCAGACGTAGACGCAATAATGACGCGAATTTATGCATTCTTCGCAGGTATGCAATGTCCGCCGGGAATGCCTCAGAACAGGATGCCAGGGCAACCTGGAATGAAACCTGACGTAGGCGGACCCATGTGGGGTCATCCAGGTGCCCCTAGTGGACGCAACGGAACTTGGACAGACGCTCCACACGACACCGCTTCTTGGGATGATCCGAAGACTCCGGCAACGTGGAACGAGCCTCAGCTAAATCCAGCAGCCTGGGGTGCTCCTACTGCGCACAAACCAAAGCCTATGGGACCCACCGGTAGCTGGGGTGACTCCGATATGGACCCGACTCCTAGCTGGGCGCATACTGCGAAACCTACACTGACGAAGGAGGTGATCTGGAGTAGTCGCGAGTTCCGTTATCTTTGTGACTTAGGATTCAAGGTATGTGTGCGGGATTCCAAGTGTTTGTCTGTTTCGTACTCATTTGGTCGTAAAACTCATGTATCAATATTTTGTCGTTTCAGAAAGAGGATGTGGAACTAGCACTGAGGAACCGAGAGATGAATCGAGAGGAGGCATTGGAACTTCTCAATCAGATACGTCCTGTTGATCAATGGAGACGTCACGACACGCATTCGGGCTATGATCCGACGCATCAAGCAACTACTGCGCCAGCTTATCCTCGATTTAATCACGTAGCACAGCAGATGTCATTCCCTCCGGTAAGTTTGATCAACGCAATTGAAAAAAACATACGCTCATAAGTACGTACAGATACAGAGTTTAGAGCTTAGCTTTGCTGAGAAGTGATTGTGCAACATGGAGCAATGTTCTGAGGTGAACAATATCTTCGTATATGTTTTCGTCGAAACGACGTTGATGTTGAGAGTTTGACAAAACGAGAGACAAAACTTTTGATCAAACACACGCGCGCTGTGAAATTTGCTTAACAAACTTTGAGGTTGAGCGAGTATACCGAGTTTTAGCGTGAGCGTTTTATATGAATTAACATCTAATCCGATGAATTTAACAACTGCTATATACGATATAGGTGCGGTGCGAATAAAAAAAAATTACTAACGGTTTTCTGTGTGTACGCACTTTTCTTTGATCTGCAAGTGGATTCATAAGTTTCTTGAATACTCTTACACAGATCAAAAGTACGGGAATATTCAAACAAATATATCTATATGTGTGTGTTTGTGTGTTTGTGTATATGTGTCTGTGCGCGTGTGTGGTATGTTTATATAATACTTCTGATGAATACGAAAGTGACAAGAGAGAGAGAGAGAGATTCAAACTCTTGCTCATATAATTGATATTTGAAGAGGAAGGATGTTTCATTCGTAATAGGGAATATATCTGTTGAAGTCTACACATATATATATCTTCGACTTATATTATAAACTCAGCAGAATGTACGTATTATGTTAGAGCGGGTGGAAGAAAGGGCGCAAGGTAGGATGGGTACACGCTATTTGTATTCGATACAGGGCGGAGGAGTGCCCAGCGGGGCAACCAGTGGGGGTGTGGGTGGTTCTGTGACCAGTGCTAGTCTTCTCAAACTTCAGCAACAGCAACAGCAGCAGACAGCTGTTCCGCTACAACAACAACAACCAAGTACCAATGCGCCACAACCCCCTTTCAACCAGGTGAACTGTCAAGCACACGCTTGAAAATGTTCAATGTATTTTTATCATTTGTATCTAGTTCTTTATTATGAGAGCAGAGTAATTAAATCGATAGTTATATATACGAAATATAAGGCACTGTTGCACATCTTGATAAAGTTGCAACGCAAGGATATGACAAATCGAACAGCTCAAGATGTTTTATCTGTTTATGTCGAACAGAGTTATCAGTTTATGTTAAAAAAAGATCTGATAAATAGACTTTTATAATAGTTTATCAAGTTTGTTTTTCTTTTCTTTTCTTTTTTTTTTTTTTTTTAATATGAAATAACACGTGATATTTCTTAAATTGCTTGGAGATTTGTGTTCAAATTTATGACAAAATTATATATATATATATATTATATTTTTCAAAGTTTCACCTAAATCAGGAAGGTTGATAAACGTTTCTTAATTTATACGGTGACATATAAAGAGTAATATCGCGATAAAAGATTCGATTATTTATGCCAAATATTTGTAAGGTATTACAAGCTACTGATATCAATTTGATAGCAAGGCTATATTTGATAATCTGTTGGTATATGTCTAGCACAGTCTGTTTTTTGAGTGCATGAATTTGTGTTGAATTTGAGCAGTACATTGTTTTGCATGTTAACCGCTATTTTCTCTATTAATGACATATTACTGACTACTGGAAACTAAAGAATGTTTCAAATTAAAGTTATGTTGCCTCCAAGTCCTATGATAGTTCTTATATGTGGAAAATATTATGAGGCTATATGCAGGATATCTTACTCCATCATAATATTCCATCAATTTTAAAGAAATTATTTAAAGAATTTTAAAGAAATAGATTATTTTTGTTAAGGAATAAATCATCCTGTTCCCCTTACTCCCAACACAAGTTGACACTAATGAACATTACGATGCATTTAATTTCCAGGCGTCTCGCGCATCACAGAATCAGCCAAGTACGCAGCAATTGCGTATGCTCGTGCAACAGATTCAACTGGCTGTTCACGAAGGATATCTGAATCATCAGATTTTGAATCAACCACTGGCGCCCCAAACTCTGATGTTACTGAATCAACTTTTGCAACAGATCAAGGTCTTGCAACAGTTGCATCAACAGCACACGGTGCAAAGTACCATGAAGGGCAACAATCAGTCAGTTCTGCAGATCAGCGTTCAGATTACAAAGACGAAGCAGCAGATCACGAATTTGCAGAATCAAATCGCGGTGCAACAAGCAACATACATGAAGCAACAACAGCAGCATCCGGCGCCTCCATCTCAGGCGTCAGAATATTACAAATCTTCTGTGCACGATCCTATGTCAGCTCTGCAGAACAGTTTCAGCGACTTGACGATGAACAAGGAGGCACCAGTGGTATGTGTTAAATTTATATATATATATATTTTTTTTTATGTTACAAATATTATTTCATGGATATATTTATTTAGCTCAACATATTCTGTAAGAATTTTTAGCGTATAGCGTTTTTTGCTTCTGACGTTATTAATCAAGATAGCCGTGGCGAGGAAACAGGGATCTTAAAAAATTACTTGTACATGCACATGATGTCTCGATATAGCAATGATCTATATCTGTGTATATTATTTCTGTAGAGTCAACAGCAGTCCAGATTAAACCAGTGGAAATTGCCATCGCTCGATAAAGATGGCGATCTAGTATCGAATGAATTCTCCCGTGCTCCTGGAACTACGAGCAAACCACCCACAACACCCGGTGGCTTGACTCAGTCACACAGCAGTCCGAATATGAATCCTTTGTTAGGCCAAAGTGATGGCACGTGGTCTTCGCGGCTCGGCGACAGTGGTTGGCCCGATCCAAGTAACAGCGATTCGACTGACGGAAAGGATTGGCAACCGGGTGGTGCCGCATTCACAGACCTCGTGCCAGAATTCGAACCGGGGAAGCCATGGAAGGTAATCCATTTCCAGTACTGTCAATCGTTACTTAACCTTTTAAGAACCTTTTGTATTCGCATGGAGAAGTTCAGATGCTCCACAACATTCCTGCTCAATTTTTCTCGCGATATATAAAATTGTACAAAAAAAAATTTTCAACCGCGATACGCCAAGTTCTGTAAAGGTAACTAACGAGTTAGCATCTAAGGTATGTTCGGATCCACCTATATTTAATTTTATTTTAGGGTACCCAGATGAAAAGCATCGAGGATGATCCTAGCATCACTCCCGGTTCTGTCGTACGTTCGCCGTTGTCTTTGGCTACTATCAAGGATCCGGACGCGATCTTTTCGTCAAGCAGTAAGACCTCACCGCCACCGCAAACCAGCAATCCAGACACATCTATCCCGAGTCTAAGCAACTCCACATGGACGTTCAATCCACCGGCCACTACACCGAGTGCATTTACCAGGTATCATTCTAAACCTACGTAGACTATTATTGCGAGAGAACGTGCACCACTTTTACTCCAGGACATGCAATTAGAAGGCTCGACTTTTTGCAGCAGCTCTAAGAATACGTGGGGAGAGTCCGCCCCGCCACCTACTGCTGTGACTTCGGAACTTTGGGGTGCACCGATGAGTAAAGCACGCGGTCCACCTCCAGGCTTAGGTAGCAAAGGGGCTACGAACACGAGCAATGGGTGGGCTGGACTGGGTAGTGTCAGTAGATCCTCCAGTTCATGGGGTCTGCAATCTTCCACGGTCAGCAATTCCGGTTGGATGTCTACTTGGCTCTTGCTGAAGAACCTAACACCGCAAATCGACGGCTCGACTTTGAAGACGTTGTGCGCGCAGCATGGGCCGGTTCAAGACTTCCGTTTATACCAGAATCACGGAATCGCGTTGACGAAATATTCCACTCGCGACGAAGCAATCAAGGTAAGCGAAATCGACTCTCGGGTCCTCTTAAGCTTCTCGCTTCTTGCGAGAAGAACTTGGCTCTTAAATTCCGACAGCTGGAGACGCATGAGTCGCATGGGATATTCTCGATTTTCTTTTTTACAGGCACAAGGCGCCCTAAACAATTGCGTCCTGGGTAACACAACGATATTTGCCGAATCGCCAGCAGAGAGTGAAGTGCACACTATTCTGCAGCAGCTCGGCCATGGCGGACAGCAACAGGCCGGCGGTTCTGGCGGTGCTGGATGGGGCCTTAGACCAACTAACAAAGCCGGCCCACCGCCCGACACTTGGGGTGGTAGCTCCAGCCAGCTCTGGGGTGTCCCGCCCACCAGCAATTCCTTGTGGAGTAACGCGGGAATAGACAACAGCGACCAGCAACGAGCAACTCCTAGTTCTCTCAACTCGTATTTACCCGGAGATCTTCTGGGAGGTGAGTCGATGTAGAGAGCGAGAGGCCATCCGCCCGAAATCTCGTCAAATAGGTGAAAAAAAAGAAATCTACTTGTTTGTGACGTAAGCCCAAAGATGCAGCTCGGCTGACGCAAACTTCGTGATCAAATATGTATTATTCCCCTCCCAATCCCCCCAATCTGCCGCTTATTCCTCTGAGACACAAAGTGCATAAGATGTATATGCGAGTATTATTGATTCGCTTTGAGTCTTTGGATATGGCCGATACAAAGTGTATCTGCCTATATATATCTAGCGTCGTCGATAGTGAGCGTGTGCGAGAGAGCAAGAGGATAAGGGCAGAAGGATGAGGGAGGGAAAGAGTGACAGAAAGGGTGTGAAAGAGAGAGAAAGCAAAGAGACGGACGAGGTCTTCACGAAACGTCAATTATATTGCTAGGAAATGCAATTATTATAACGAGTTACTTAACAAAGAAAAAAAATTACTACCCTCGTATCCGCCTTGAGTAGAACACGCGTAAGCAAAAATCGCAGTGGTGTACAGCCAAATCGTGCGATAGATATCTAATTTTACATGACAAGTCACACGTTTACACGCATACACGTATGTAAAACACACATACATACATACACACACACACACACACAAACGCGCGCTCACGCACACACACACATACACACACACACGTATACGTGCAACATGTGCATACACGCAACGGACAAACTCGTAGAGGGGAAAAAAAAGAAAAAAAAAGAAAAAGAAAAAACAGCGGCACTTGCGAGTACGAATTTTGCGGTCGCGTCATTACTGCGAGGAGACTTGTGGATTGCGGAAGATCAAGTTGGACCAATTGCAAGAGGTCTCTTCGTCACATTGGTGCGTATACTGCGTGCGATCTGCCACGATATGTAACGACGACTGGCGTTCTCGTCGTTTCAAGCCAATCTAGTAAGCATGTATTTCTAATCTGAAGATTAATGTAGAGAGGACAAAAAAACGAAGAAAAAAAAAGAGAGGAAGAAAGAAGAGGACTCTATCCACGCTCTCTGCCGTTTCGCTGTGAAGGGAGGGCGCCTTTCAATGAAGATTTATCGGCCGAGGGTCTCTGATCAGGTCAAAGAGTGTTCCATTTTTGCTGGACAGTTCCGAAGACTGCAGCGAGTATCAAATGTAGACTGTATCAATCTAATCAAAAGAAAGAAACCTTAAAAACAAGCATTGACGTCGCTGCCTGGTGTTCTGCCCGTGGCATCACCCCCCCCCCCCCCCCACCGCACTCTCTGGATCCCCGACATGGAAGAAAATGAGTAATGCAGGGATATCAGATCAACTGGGCAACGACGCAACGATACCAAATGTTATCGCAATAACGTAAATTTTATTCTATATTAAATCTAGATGCCACCTGTCGTGCCAATGTCCAGTGTGTCTCTTTACCATTTATTAACGTAGAGTTTAAATGAAGAAGAGGAAGGAGGAGGAAAAAGGGAGAGGATGGAGAAAAAGAAGATAAATAAGAGAAGAGAATGAGAGAATACGAGAAGAAAACAGATCGGCGAGATGAGATTTCATGGACGAAGCGTTGAGAAATACCGAGAGAAAGAGAGAGTGAGAGAGAGAGAGAGAGAGAGAGAGAGAGAGAGAGAGAGAAAGAGAGGAGTGTGTTGATGAAACAGGGCGAAGAACTGGCTGAAAATCGGGTTCACACATTAAAGTAAACACAATGAATACCACGTACTAATTGCTGGTATTAGCATATTACGCTTCTCGTTAGTGATGTTCGAACGAGGAATCACAATGGTCCACGTAAGATCGTAACGCGAGTAATGGCGGTGTTACGAATGGCATTTATTGTCGGCACATGGAGTCGAGCGGAGCTCGGTCTCTCTAGGGTGAATTTAAATTAGTTTTTCTCTCAACGTCAAAGGTACCTGAACGGACTGATAACCAAACGACGAACAAGCGAATCGTTATTTACTCATGCACAACAATTTCCTTTTTACTTTCCGCTTCTCCGTGTCAGCGGAGTGTCGGGGAAACGTTTCGCGAATCAATCACTGGCGCAACCGCGAACGACGTGAAAGAGACGGCTTTTACCCTCCATGAGAGTATCTCGGGGAGAAAAAGCGAGAAGAGCAAGAGAGATATATAGATATAGAGATATATATCCGATATATATACATGTGAAGACAAAATAGAGGGAAAGAAACAATCATACACATATACACACACACACACACATACACACACACATACACAAGACGAGCTGTTAACGAGAGTACAGCGACGCGCGCAATAAGTGAATAATATAAGTGAAATAACTACATGTAACACATACAATACAGACACGCTGTTCAACATACACGTTTGCCACGCATGACTGACCGCATGCTTGCAAATGTCCACCACGTCAAGCTAAGGAAACGTACATAGTAGCATTGGTCGACAATGATTCCGCCGCTTCCATGCGATCGGTCGATCCTCGCGGATGCCGGACCATTATACCTTTTGGCGTACCAATAAATCAAAACCATTGGGAACTTTTTATATCTTTTGCCTTCCAAGAGAGAGAGATCGCTTCGCTAGGAGAACATCATATATCATCATATAAAAGGGCCACGTTTTTCGCGAACCACATACTATGGAAAATGATGAACCGGTGCTACCGGTTGACGCGCGAGCGGCACGATAGTATCCGCGCGGTTCCGCCGGTCACGTCGCCTGGACTCTGTCGGCCAGTGTTGTTACGTAATGCTTAATTTTAATATTTTCGTAAGGGAGCATAATTTTAGATATTCATAATTAAATGTCGCTAATTAGTTGGAGGTAGTCAAAAGGAAAGGCTAAAGAGTACGACGATACGATTATGACGACTATTACGAGCTCGCCAGTTGCGAAACAAAAAGAAAAAAGTAAAAAGAAAAAAAAAGAAGATGGAGGAGGAGGAGAAGGAGGAAGAGGAGGAAGAAAAGTAGTGGAAGCGCTGCTTATACAAGAACCGTTCTGTACATAAACGTATCACACCCAACGGCGAGTGGCTGTCGCGTCCGATCGGGAAGATGAATCTTCTGTGTTCCGAAGTGAAGCAAGTAGGAGGGCGAAAGTGAGTGTGAGAGAGTCAAAGAGTAGACGGTAAGAATTGCGAAAGTAAGGTATAAATGTGATTCCTCAAATCTTATTGCGATCTCACGGTCTATATATCATGCCCTTTCTTTTAATCATGTTGACGTGTATAAAGACAAGTAAGTGGAATAAATTTCAGAGGGCTGTCTTCTGTTATTGCAATTGTTTAGGATTAGGATTATATGACAAATCTCCGAGAGAGGAGATGCGCGGATAGAATGAAAGTCTTTTACGCATTTTAAGCGCAAAAATCGACTCTCGGCAGTCGCGACAGCCCGCTTCCGATGTGGTGCGATATACGCATAAATATCTCTATATATTACTATATTATATACATACACACAAACAGCGTACCTATGCATATATATACATGTGTATGTATATGTCTTTGTATGACAACGCATCCTTGTTTTACTTAACAAAGTATAGAAAATCGGTGTGTGCGAAAAAAATACAGCGAGAGGGAAAGAGGGAGAGAGAGAGAGAGAGAGAGAGAGGGGAAGAGGTGACGAGACGTTATAGGACATATTAACTATAAGATTAACTATGCTATGCTGATAACGATGAAACAACGTTGAGTAATTTATGAGTAACCTCTATTCCTGGAGAAATAATTACTTTTAACTCTAGCGCTTTAAATCACATTTACTTTATACTGTTTACTTTAAAGATATCAAGTGGTGTAATTCGCGTATTAAGAGAGCGGATTGAAGACGATTCTGATATGTAGATTTTAAGATAGATCTTAAGTGTCTGAAAACTTAAATGTATTCGTCAATGGTGTAAGAGAGAGAAAGAGAGTGAGAGAGAGAGAGGGGGGGGGAAGGTGAGCGAGGATGCAGAATAGATTGGTAGGGGGAGCGAATGTGACAGGATGCGAGAGAGAGACTGTTGTAAGTGTAAGTGAGAGAGGAAGAGAGAAAAGACGGATGAGACACGTGAGGGGGAGGAAGCGAATGTTGAAGCACGAGCTAGAATAGAGTACGAATGTGAGAGGAGGTGTCGCGCTTGCTCTGGCAAAACGGGGGGCGGCATTTGTGCAGACAGAAATGTGATTCAATCGGTTGAGATTCGTCGAGATACGGTCCTGGTTGGTAGACTTGCTTAATTATGACGGTAATTTTCTCGATTGCCTCGGTGAACATTTTAAGGGCGACAACGTGGTCTCTAATTTATATACGGGGGAGGGGAGGGAGGATAGGAGAATCGGGCGGTTGAATAATACTTATTGAACGAATCAAAGGAATAAACTTATCTCGTACTAAGAGGAGATATTTGTTGTGATAATAATATGAATTTAGTAACATTGATAACTTAGGTGTTTAGGCGACTCTTACCACATCTTTTATGAATAACCATATTAATACCGTCGTTTAATGAATAAACTTTAAGTACGTATAAGTAATAATAATGATAAAAGTAAAGTAAAATAATAATATAATGATATAATAATAATAATAATAATAATAATAATCGCTATATAATAATGATTATATCGGAAGAGAGAGATGGTGGGGAGGTAGCGTGTAAACTTTGAGGAAAAAAACGACGTACAGTTTTATATTAGAGGTATATATATAAGAGCACTCGGCAGACGTAATGTGCGTGCGTGAAGCTTGTGCGTATATATGGCATATATATTTGATTAAAGTATAATCGATCGAACGTCACGATAGCTACACGAAACATGCGCACGGTATCGGTGCCGCGTGCGAAGGGTAATGCACATTAACACACACACACACAGGACACATACATACATCGTATACATACATATATACATGCAGTGCAGAATAAGGGCGGATAAGGGAGTTACTACTACTAATGCAGATAAGGGAACTATATAATTTTTAAACGATAACAGTTTAACGACCGACGTGCAGCCTACCGCTTAATTGTAATCTAACGCATTAACGACAAGTTAACTTTAGTCCTTCTAACTCGTTGCCTTTTATTGTTTGACACACGACACACAATATACAAATCATACGTAAACGAACATGCACACAAACATAAATAATACCATATAATCGCGAGACATAAATTCGATGAAAATGGACTGACTAGCGGACGTAAGATAAATAACTAAATTCGTTGATGATCGCGATAGCATACACGTACACATCTTACAAAAGTTTGGTACAAAACAGTTGTTTTATCAGCGATTAATAGCAGCTGGGAAAATGAAAAAAAAAAAGAAGAAAGAAGTAGGAAAGTGACGAGAGACACGGGAGAGAGAGAGAGAAACACAAATTGATGTGGGTGGGGAGGGGCGGCTATGTAATGCTTGGAACCTTATCGAGCGTCTCTCTCTCTTGTATCGCCCGATGTAATGTATAAGTGCGAGAATCGCACACATGAGTTTTGCGCCTTTTTGTCATACCTTTTAATTTGTGCACACAGCGTGGAAACATTTCCTTTTATGATGTTGATTAATTCTTTACGATGATTTCTTGTCACTGTATTAGGTAGAATATATTTATATCATCAATATATTTATATTAGATATTAACGGCGGATTGATATACATATATATATATATATATATATATACACACACACACACACATACGTATATATGTGTATATATATATATATAGTTGGATGACAAATATAACAATATACAGGGTGTGTCTGTACCCACCAAATGTCCTAGAGAATTAAAAAGCGACGTTCCTCTGCAAACGTCGTGGCATCAAAATGACGGGAGCTCCGCTGACGTATCTTGATTGTACCTCAGGCGTGTATCGATTTTAACAATGTACATAGCGGATATAAATTTCCGGGACGTTAGACGTTCACAAAGACGATAAAATATTTAATGATTGGACAAGCGTGTTTACTATCGGGAATTGGAAGCTCGCGACACACACGACGATGGGACTTCCTCTTGTTAATAAAGAGAGGCCTGTCGCTCTCGCAGGACATCCGGTTTGGATCAGAGACACTTGGTATAGCGGGAACGTTGGTGGGATGGCAGCGCGCGCGCCTTTCAATCCGTATCCGTATCGCTCACCTCACCGAGACACGACACTCCTGTCCCCGCGCGGTAAAAAGAGGATCGAGAGAGAGAGAGAGAGAGAGAGAGAGAGAGAGAGAGAGAGAGAGAGAGAGAGAGAGAGAGAGAGAGAGAGAGAGAGGAGACGCGTTGCGGACGAGACTCGTCGTCGCGCGATTCGCGCGCTGCTCCGATCGGAAAAAGGAGCGAGAAGGAAAACTCCTCGAGAGAGTTCGGCATGTTCCTTCCGTGAAGTATCATCTCGCGACAATCGAGCGCCAGCGCGTCTCGAGGTCATCCTCCCCCCCTCCCCCCCGTGGGAGCGACAACTCGGCAACGTCCGAACACCTGACGCTCGTCCCGTGTGTGTCGTTCATAACCGGCGACTAGTACAAACACAAATGATTCTACACGTCAGTATTTTCCACACCGCGCGCACGTGCAATATAACACACATTTCCCGAACGCTTCCGCGGAGCTCCGCCGATCGATGCGTCGGATCGCGATCGTCGTACTGCCATTGCACCACCGTTGCGCACACCGCGATACTCGCACGAAGGACAATATTCACTTGCGTTGGTTTGCGTGTGTCTCCCCCCTTTAGCGCGTCTTTGTTGTTCTCCTTTTCGAGTTTCCTTTACGCCTAATTTCCTCGCGCAAAAGAGCCGCGCGCGCTCATCGCGCGCTCCCGATATTCCCGCGGATTCTCTCGCAGAGAGCTCGAGACTTGCGATGGCGGGCGGGCGGGCGGGCGGGCGTGTGTGTTGTCGTTTCCATGTGATTTTCAAGTAGATCGCCGCTACGAGGGATCAATGTCGTACGAGACGCGTAAATTAGACAAAGCCAGTATTTCCTTCCACGTGACAACAATGGCCTCGCCTGCGCGACGCGAGATCGCGAGATCCGCGCCGCCTCGCTCGCCAATTTTCCACACGGCTGTCACCTCTCCGCCCGAGGTACACACTCCGCGAAAAGAGACGAGAAAGAAAGAGAGAGAGAGAGAGAGAGAGAGAGAGAGAGAGAG